GCCCCAGGCAAGTGACGGGAAATAAAGGTTTGTTTGCCAACTCCCAAGATGGTGAGGACCCTCTGCTGCAGAGGATCTTCACTGCAGGTGGGCACTGCTGAGGATGCCAACTGAGATGTTTGGCACATTGCAGATAGCCCAGCAAAAGCTTGTAAAAACCTCTATTACAGTAGTAACGCAGTGCTTACTTCATTATAGAGTGCTTTGGGGCAATCTAAGGTTGTGACAGTCAATCTTGGTGCCTTTCTCCCTTCAGGGAGCATGTCACATACTCAGGGACACAACATTGCAGCGCCAAAGCACAACAGTGTTTCTGTGAAAATTCTATTGGATCTGTTCAGATGTGCAATGGCGTTCATTTGTAAAACAGTATTTTGAGTACATGAGTAAAGGGTACTGAAGAGCAAACATGCATTTATAATCAGCCAGGGCCACAAGGAACTCTGCAGTGTAATTCTTACCTGCCAGGGAGATAGCTGATTTTAATGAGCTACTGTCACCTTCAGTAACCCTTTTATACAAGCGAATAAAACTCTGAACAATTATCAACTTTAATATCCACTTATTTATTCTGTAGTACTTTTGTTTAAACTGCTAGTCCTGTCGCTTGAAACAGTTGCTGAGCCCCAACTGTGAGAAGGTACAAAGTGAATAAAACATGCTGGGAGCCAGTCTGAATGGTTAGATTGCTGCTGTTGTGACTCATGTGCCTCATCTTACCAGAGAAAAAAATCGGATCACAAGCACTCAATGCTCTTAATAAAAATAGTCATTGAGATCAAGCAAAACAGAAGCATGTGCTGTGATATTGCACAGGGGCAGTCAAAGCTGAGTGCAGTGTTCAGGGGAAATGGGGTTAGACGGGAAGAGATAATCAGGCCACAGTGTTCCCATGTCTTTCTGCTAATATTCTAAGGTCATGCACTCTGTCCTTATTAGACAATACTTCGTTTTATTATTGCTTATGATCTATCAGGGGAAGCAATGGCCTCATGGTATTATTGCTAGACTATTAATCCAGAGACACAGGTAATGACCTGGGGACCAAGGTTCAAATGCCGCCATGGCAGATGTGGAATTTGAATTCAGTAAAAATCTGGAATTAAGATTCCAATGACTGTCGTCACTATCTGGTTCACTAATGTCCTCTAGGGAAGGAAACTGCTCTCCTTATCTGGTCTGGCCTATATGTGACTCCAGAATCAGGGTGTTGTGGTTGATTCTTAACTACCCACTGGGCAATTAGGGATGGGCAATCAATGGCACCCAGCCAGCGACACCCACATCTTGTGAATGAATTAAAAAAAAATTAATTCTGGAATTCCTGCCCCAAACCTCTCTACTTGTCTCCTCTTCGAAGGGGATCCTTAAAACTAAGCTTTAGGTCAGTTGTACTAATCTATTCTTCTTTTCACTCATGATCAGGCAAAATATGACACTATATGCATAATTTATTCATATTAAATGTAAAACACAACGTGGAGATGAGTTGATTGAGGTCTTTTCTCCAGGGTAGGGGAGTCCAAAACTGGTGAGCATAGGTTTAAGGTGACAGGGTATAGATGTAAAAGGGACCTGACAGGCAACTTTTTCATGCAGAGGGTGCTGTGTGTATGAAATGAACTGCCAGAGGAAGCGGTGGAAGCTGGTACAATTACAACATTTAAAAGGTATCTGGATGGGTATATGAATGGACAGGGTTTAGAGGGATATGGGCCAAATGCTGTTAAATGCAACTTGATTAATTTAGGATATCTGGTTGGCATGGATGGTTTGGACCGAAGGGTCTGTTTCCGTGCTATACATCTCTATGACTCTAAGTGTGGGGGTTTCTCTATCGGTGACGCTGATAAGGTGAGACACAAAACTGATGCATGACAGATGTATCAGAGATGGGAGGTGCAATTAAAGCATGACATTGTTAATAATGAGAACATTTATGTTGACATTATAAATGTTTTTATTATTACTGTTGATGTAAATGCTTAATGTGAACACAGATAAGTTTAATTGTAAGGATATTGTAGTGATAATGTCACCGGACTGTTAATCCAGGCTAATGTTCTGGGAAATGTAGGTTCAAATCCCATAAAGGCAACTGGTGGAATTTAAATTCAATTAATAATTCTCAAATTGAAAACTAGTCTCAATAATGTTGTCATGTAACTATCATTGATTGTCATAAAGTCCCATTGGGTTCATTATTGCCTATTCAGCAAGGAAATCTGCTGTCCTTACCTGATCTGGCCTTCATATGATTCCAGATCAACAGCAATGTGATTGGTTCTGAAATACCCTGGCAAGCCGCTTAGATTAAGGGCAAATGGGGATGGGCAACAAATACAGGCCTTGCCAGTGATTCCTACATCCCATGAGAGGATAATTTTGAACAAAAAAGCATGTAAGATTATATTAAATAATTACATAAGAAGATTGCTAACCTTGGGAGTAATTCTCTTGGTTAAAAGATTGAGAAACAAAAACGTAAAACACAACAAAGGCAAATATAATGTTCTTGAAAAGATAATGAGTTATCTCTAATGTTATCAAACCCAGATTATCATACTCATACAAACAGGGTATTTTTTAAAAATTCATTTGTAGGAAGTGGCTGGTCCAGCATTTGTTGCCTGTCTCTAATTGCAACTGAGATAATTGTGGTGGGCTACCGTATTGAACTACATCCATATGGCAAAAGTACTCCATGAGTGGTGGTATGTAGTAACGTCCAGAATTTTAACCTGGCAAAAATGAAGGGACAGATCAATACATTTCCAAATCAGGAATGTGTGTGATTTGGATGGAAACTTGGAGATGGTGGTGTTTCCATGTGTGTGCTTCCATATTCCTTTAGATGGTAGAGGATGTGGATTTAGGAGCTGCTGTTGAAGAAGTCTTGGTGAGTTTTGGCAGTGCATCTTGGAGACAGCACACGTGCTACTACTGAGTATCATTGGTGAAGGGAGTGATGGATGAGGTGCAAATCCAATTCTTTGTCCTAGATAGCATCAAGTTTCTTGAGTGTTGTCCGAGCAGCATTCATCCACACAAGACATATTCTAACCTGCTCTTGTAGCCACATTACTTATGTGACTGGCCCAGTTAAATTTCTAGTCAACGGTAACTCATAGAACGATGATGCTGATGGATCCTGTGAAGGTAATGCCGTACTAAATTTAAATAAGGGCATTTGATAGCGTAAATAAACAGTTGGTTAAAGACAAATGGGAAAGTAGTTTAAAAGTTAAAATGGTAGATAAGAAATGGTACATATATAAGGAAATATTTCGTAGCTTTCGACAAAGACATATTCTGTTGAGAAACAACGGCGCCAAGGAAAGAGTACATCAGCTGGGGCTCACAAAGGAAGTTAAGGATAATATCAAATTGAAAGAAAGATAAACAATCCTCCAAAGGTTAGTGGCAGCCCTGAAGTTTGGGAAATTTTAAAAACCAGTAAAGGATCACAAAAAACGACAGAGGAATTGACAGTGTGTGAAAAATGTAGCAAAAGACTGAAAACAGTCAGCAAAAACTTCTTCAAGTATAGAAAAAAAGAGTAGCTAAGGTTTCAAGAGTTGGTCCCTTGAGGACGGGGTGTGATTGAGGAATTAAAAATGGTAAGCGAAGAAATGGCAGAGACTTGAATAAGTATTTTATATTTGTTTTCAACATAGACAACATTGTAAACATCTCAAGAATAATAAAAAAATCAAGAACCAAAAGTGAGGGGGAACTAAAACAATTATGATCACTAGAGAAAAGTACTAGGAAAAACAAATAGGATTAACTAAAGGGTGTCCTCATGTTTCCAGAAGGCAGATCACCACTACGTTTCCACAGAAATTAGGGATAGGCAAAAATGTTGGCCTAACCAGCGATGCCTACATCCCAGGAATGATTTCACAAAATCCTAAAAGCTGACAGGTTCCCAGACCTGATGGTTTTCACCATGGATGTGTATTTCCTGTAATACATAAATTGTAAACCAAAATTGCCTAGCTGCTGGAAAGGTCGCAGAGGATTGGCAAACTGCAAATATAAGAAAATATTCAATAGGAGGGAGGAAAATAGGAAACTTTAGGACAGTAAGTCTAAAATTTGTCATTGGGGAAAATACTAAAATGCATTATTGGGCAAGAAATTTAGAAAATCATAATACAAGCAAGCAGTCAATTTGATTTTATGAAAGAGAAATCATGCTTGTCAAATTTATTAGTGTTTTGAGGATGTAACAAACAGGGTGGATAAATGTGTGGACATAGAGTAAATGTAGATTTATAAAAGGCGTTCAATAATGTGCCACAAGAGGTCATGATGTTGAGGCTGATATATTAGCAAGAAAAATGATGGGCTAAGTAACAGAAAACAGAGACAGGATAAATGAGTCATTTTCAGATTGTCAGACTGTCACTAGTGCAGTGTCACAAGGATCAGTGATACAGCCTTAAATACTTGCAGTCAATATTAATGACTTAGAAAAGCTACACTGTATTGTAGCTGACTTTGCTGGTGATACAAAGAAAGCAAGCAATGGGATGATATAAAAAGGACAAAGACACACAAATAGTCATTAGATACTGTGAAACATACATTAATACACAAGGCCATGATCCTTACATTCAGAAAGATTATGAACATCTAATGCGCCTGTTTCAACTCAACAGGGAAGAGACCTTCTCAGATTCATTTAACAGATCAACATCTTGACCAACTGGAGTCAACCCACATGGTTTAAAATTCAAACAAAGTTTGGTAGTTAAATGTGAGTCATCATTAACTGGTGCAATCTCGATGGTAACTAATTAGAGTCCACTTGCCAACCAGCATTCTTCTCTTGTATAGTATAAATGATCTTTTTCCTTTACATTGATATTTCTTGCAAATTATCCTGATGAGCGAGAGATGAAAAGCTTCACCAAGAGTTTCTATTTCAGTGATGCTTAGGATAAAGATATGTTAAATGAATGGGCAAAAAAAAAATGGCAAGTAGAGCATAATGTGGAAAAAATGGTCAGAATTTATTTGAAATAAGGAAAACCGCAGTATACTGCAATATAAATCCTTCTATACAAATTACATAAAGGTGACTGGCAGGTACAGCAATTAATTAGAAAACGAGCAATGGAACATGAAACCAGGGAAATATTTCTACAACACTGCGAGGTATTGGTGGGACCACACCTGAATGCTGTGTATAGTTTTGGTCTCCTTTTCTAAGCAGGGATATATGTGCATTGGAAGCAGTTCAGAGAAAGGTTACTGGGTTGAATCCTAGGCTGAAGGTCTTACGAGGAAAAGTTGTGTAGGTAAAGCTGATACTCGTTAGAGTTTAGAAGTGGGAGCTTGACAGGGTAAATACTCTCATTGCAAATCTAGACCCCCAGGACATGGTTCAAAAATAAGGGCGTCTTTGTAATTTCCTTCACAAAGAGCAGCAGAGACTACAACTTTGGATATTTTCAAGGTTAAGTCAGACAGATCTTTGATCAGCAAGGGAGTTTATGGAAGACAAGCAGGAAGGTAGTTACAGTCTCAATCAGATCAGCCAAGATCTTAAATGGCATGGCAGAATTGATGGATCAAATGACTTACTCTTTCTCCTCTTTATGATCTTATGACTGTCAAGGGGAAGTGGTCGCACTTTTTCTTTTTAAGATGGTCATTGCTTGCCAATTGTATGGTGTGAGTGTTACTCACCACTTGTTCAGTTCTTTCTCCAAGTGGATGTGGAATGCTTCATTATGCAAACAGCCATAAATTGAATTAACATGGCACAATATCCAGCAAATCTCCCCATTTTTGATGGACAGAAGGATGAAGCAGCTGATAATGACTGGGTCTAGGACACTACTGAGGAATTCCTGCAACAATATCTCTGCAACCACAACCATCTTCTCTTGTGTTAGTTAGCAACCAGTGGAGAGTGTGTGGCCTTCCTGCCCTTGACTTCAATGTTGTTTTGGGTTCCGTGGGGCCAAAGCTAGACAATTGCTGCCTTCAGCCATTGCTGAAGGGCAGTCACTTGCACCTCATTTCACAAATTCAGTGTTTCTGTCCGTACTTGGACCAAGGCTGGGATAGGGTCAGGAGCCTGTGTGGTTCTGGCAGAACTGAAGAATCCGAGCATCAGCGAGCAGGTCTACTGGTGAATCAATACATTTTGATAACATTGTGGAAGACCCCTCTCATCACTTTGCTGATGATTGAGAGTAGACCTAATGGGTAGTTATTTACCAGATTCGATTTGTAGACAGGACATTCCTGGGGACTTTTCTGCCTTGTCAAGTAGATGCATGGATCAGCTTGGCTAGAGCTGCAGCTATTTCCACATACCCTTGAACCACTACGGCCAAGATGGATTACATGGTAATTTATTTACTTGCTGTGTATGGAGCTTGCTACATGCAAATTAAGACCATAAGACACAGGGGCATAAGTAGGCCATTCAGCCCATCGTGTCTGCTGTGCCATTCAATGAGATCATGGCTGATCTGATAATCTTCAACTCTATTTTCCTGGCTTTCCCCATAACTCCCTTACTGATTAAAAATCTATCTCAGCCTTGAAGATGCTTAATAATACAGCCTGAACAATTCTTTGTGGTAAAGAATACCGTAGATTCACTACCCTCTGAAAGAAATTCCTCATCAACTCTGTCTTAAATATGTGACCCCTTACTCTGAGGTTTGCTGTCTGGTTCTAAACTCTCCTATCAGGGGAAACCACCATTCCACATCTTTCCTGTTAAGTCCTCTAAGAATCTTATGTGTTTCAATAAGATTGCCTCTCATACTTCTATATTTCAACAAGTACAAGCCCAGTCTACTCAAACTCTTTTATAGACCAGTCTGCCTAGTACACCTTCCCTGGACTGCTTCCAATGCCTGTATATTTTTCCTAGAATTGGCTACAGTTTCTCTTTACATTACAACATTGACTACACTTCAAATTCATTGCTAGTGATGTACTCTGAGATGCTAAGAACGTTTGGTATAGTGATGTAAGTTATTTGTTTTTATGTATTGTCTACATTACAACTGTATACAAAAATACTCTGTGCCATTCACCTCAGTCCAATATTTGAGAATGATCTTATGTGATGTTTATTTACAGAAATTTTAAAACAGTTTGAGAAACAAGCAAACTCTATTATAGGCCTTTCGATATCATTGTGGAAAGATTGGTCTTGGAAAACCATCAACTGGAAGTTTGGTGAAAAAATACTTTTCAAAGCAGCCTTGTTGAGTTCATTCACTTTGCAGTATTTGGTAACATTTCTAATCAAGAAGGTTAATTTTGTTTTAGCAATAACAAAGACAGAATCCAGATGTAGTAAGTCCCGAAGTGTTAGCTGAAACTCTTGCAAGAAACACATTTCAAGCCTCCTGTCCTCTCCCTTTAAATTGAAACCATCTAAGTGGAAAGATTGCAGGAATCCATGGCTGAGACATTCACCAGCTTATTGGTGATGTCCACTAAGCTCCAGTGGCTGACTGCTGTAAGGGCAAGTTCCATCATGACATGTATTCAGCATCTTTCCATCCTCAGGGACGCTAATACTTTGGACACTTGTTTTCCTGTTGGCTCTCTCCAGAAGCCAGCTCACCTCAGGTAATCTGGCAGAACATCAGCAGCACAGCGGAAACCCAGATTGGAGGCAGTGCTGTCTGGTGTGTTCTGACTGCGAGCTGCACAACGGTATCTGTAGCAATAGGCCTAAAAATACATTGAAAAGTTAGACTTGGACAAGGGTAATTATTCATTCACAGTGCATTATCACAGCCCTTCCTGGCATATTACACATTCTGGATAGGAAACTTCAATTTTTGTATACAAAACACTCCTTCCCAAGAGCCCTGAAATGTTTTAATTTTCAAGTAGTCAGCCAATTCCTTTGTGAAAGTTGCTACAGATCTGCTTAAGCCAACATTTTAAGTAATGCATTTCATATCATAACAAATCCTTAGTTTCCTTCTGACCTTTTTGCCAATTAGCTCAAATCTGTGCCCTCTGGTTCCCTGACCACAGTTTCTCCCTGTTTACAGGGGGAGGCGATGGCCTTGTGATATTATTGCTGGACTGTTAATCCGGAGACCTAGATAACGTTCTGGTGACCTGGGTTCGAATCCCACCATGGCAAATGGAATTTGAATTCAATGAATATCTGGAATTAAGAATTTAATGATGACCATGAATTCATTGCCGATTGTTGGAAAAATCCATCTGGTTCCCTAATGTCCTTTAGGGAAGGAAACTGCCATCCTTACCTGGTCTGGCCTACATGTGACTTCAGTCCCACAGCAATGTGGGTGACTCTTAACTGCCTTCTGGGCAATTAGGGATGGGCAATAAATAATGCTTAGCCAACGACGCCCTCATCCTGTGAATGAACTAAAAAAAACCTCAATATTGTGGTAGAGGTTGACAGCAGGCAAATCCACTTAAATGTGAACAACATTCCAAGAAGCTCGAAATAACTTGTCAAACAGTGAAAAGACACCCACAGAAGTAGGGCTGAGACCATCAGCCTCTCACTCGGGAAGAGTTGCAATTATTCAGCTTCACTCTTTGAAGGCTTCCTCGCCTGGATATTTCCTGAATAAACACAGCTTCTACAGTCTTCACGCCAAGTTCACCCTGACAATTTCCTAAGAGCTCAGGAACCTGTGCATTGACTGATCAAGCCAGAATGCGAGGTTAAATCCTCTGTTAATGACGGATATTCACATCAACATTACTTATCTGACAGCTTTGAGGGAAACCCACCATAGTTAAACCTGGAAGTTGGCAGAATCATGTCAGGTGCTCGACTTGATGCCTGTGTTTTTAGGGCTTTGACCTCACCGAGTTATGGGCCAATCCACCCTTGGAGTTAAAAACATCCATGACTCCATTTATGAAGCAAAGGATCCCATATTGTTTTGTTTTGAAACAGCTTTATATATTTGTCTGTTGAAGAATGGTGGGCACAGGTCTGTCTTTCTTTCTATTCCTGCACCTACAACTTAATATAACGTTTATAAGCATTGCTCCCAGAAATCCAACAACTGAAAGTGTGGTTCTGGATAGGAGTTCCATCTATGAACTTCCTCTCAGTGGATTCCACATTATTGTGGACTTTAAAGGGTTACTTTCCATTCGTGCCTCAAAAAAGCCACAAACATTGGACTGATTTTTGAATATGATATCTGCACCCTTTTTTTTTAACACTTATTCTATTTACAGCTAACATGTTATGTAATAAGCTTCACTTTTTCAATAATGAATTGACTCATATAAGGGTTATGTTTGCTTATTTTTAAAAAAAAACTGTAGGAACGAGAACTGTCATTATCCATGGCTGACCAGTTCTAGGTAGGCCAAAGGCTTGCTAAATAATGTCGCAAGATAAGTTGTGGAAAGAATCCAAGTGACAATTATTTTAAATCTAATTTAGACAGCGATTATAGAAACATTACCTAGCAACAATGTCTGTTTTTCACAGTTGACACTTGGTTTCCTGTCAGTTTTTCCTACTCAAGCCCTTATCAAATTAAGGCCAGAAATAGATTTCCTCTATCTAAAGCTGGACTGCAAACTATATTGTTGTTTTTTCAGTCAAAATACAAAGTCAATAGCAACACATTTCATTGTGGCCTTAACAGCACCAAGGTGATTGCTGGAAAATAGAAGCATCATTAATTAAGCTATATCCCACTGTGCTAATAAGGCATCCATTTTCCCAGGAAAAATGGCACTGATTAACTTTTCCAAGTATTTACTAGAATCACAGATTGAAAAACAAATAATTTGCTCAGACTTAAACACTGCAGCTGTTTAAGTCTGGCCTGCTTTCTATTCCTTTGAATGATGTCAAAGTAGACTAGTCACATTCTTCAGATGCACTATGGACAGGAAGGTTTGGTTACAATATTAGCATCTGCTTTAATGCACAGCATGAATGAAGAAGGACCCGGAGGAAATCCATGTAGACTTGGGGAGAATGTGCAAGTTCCACACAGACAGTTGTTCAAGGGTGGAATCGAACCTGGGTACCTGGTGCTGTGAGGTGGCAGCGCTAACCGCTAAGCCACCGTGCCACCCTAATCCACTACCTATATTTTCAGAGCCTTCAATGTCGGAAACCTTCACAAGATTGTTACCAAGTAAAATCTGGCACCAAGCCAAATAAGATGTGATGATGGTGGATGATCACAAATTTGGTCAGAGATGGGTCTGGCAAGTTTTAAATGAGGAAAGAGATGAGGAGAGGTTTGGGGGTGGGTGGAATTCCAGACCTTGAGACCTCGAGTTAATAGTTCAATTCTACAATCAGGTGCCTAGACCAGGAGTTCTTTCATTCAACCTCGGAAGCTGGGTATCACTGGCCAGGCCAGTACATTTGCCCTCGAGAGAGAGTGGTGGTGGCAGCAACTTGACAATTGAATGGTCTGTTTACTGTTTGAGCAGGCAGTTCATTGTCAACACACTGGGGGTGGAGTTAAGTGTAGATCAGGTTAGGCAAGGATGGCAGATCTGAAGGACATAGTGAATGAGATGAGTTTCTATACCAATTCAGTAACTTTTTCTGTAACAATTCAGTAGTTACATGGTCACCATTACTGACAGCAGCTTTTTATATCAGATTTATTTAACTGAAATAGTAATTGATGGATCACATCTTTCTCTTAACAACTCATGGCTCAGTCATAGTATTCTCCCTCTCTCAGTAAAAGGCACGTGACACAAGTCCCAATTGAGAGACTACAGCATCCCCTCTCCCTTGGCATTCAATAGCATGACCATAGCTGAATTCCCCACTTTCAACACTCCGAAACAAAACTGAACCAGCCATATAAATATTATGGCTATAAAAGCAGGCCACAGGTGAGCAATTTGGAGATGAGTATGACATCTCACAGTATGTCCATCACGTACAAGGCACTAGTCAGGAATACTCCCTACTTGTCAGAATTAGAGAGGCTCCATCAACACAAGAAGCTCGACACCGTCCACGACAAAATAGCCTGCCTGATCGGCCCCCTATCAACCACCTTCACATTCACCAACAACCAACACAGAGAGGCAGTATCTACAAACTGAATTGTAACAATTTCACAAAGGCTTCTTTGAGAGTACCTTCCAAACCCATGACCTGTCCCATCTGGAAAGACAAGGATAGCAGATACGAGAGGACCATCATTTGCAAATTCCTCTCCAAGCCACACACAGCCTGATTGTGACCTATATCACTGTTCCTTCACAGTTGCTGGATCAATATTTTGTAACTCCCTCCCTAATAGCACTGTGGGTGAATCTAAACCCTAAGGACTACAGTGATTCAAAAAACCAATTCACCACCATCTTCTCCAGGGATGGGCAATAAATATTGAGGTAGCCAGTGACTCCCAGAATGAGCTAATAAAAATACCTTTACAAAACTTTAAAAGCACAGATTTTTATGTTTACTTGACGTGTTTCTTTTTTGATGTGTAATACCCAAACTTTAATCATGAGACACCTAATGTTCCTGTGCTCTTTATTGCTGTTTAGTTTTTGCCAGCATCTGGAATTATTTTAATTTTCAGGAATTTTTTTTTTTACATATACTCTTCCATGGGATGTGGACAGTACGAACTAGGCCAGCATGTGTTGTGCATCACTAATCGCCTTTGAGAAGGTGGTGGTGAGTTAAAACGGGAGTCACATTGGAAGACAATCCTGCCATAGTCCTTTGCTTTGTTTGGGAGAGTTGAGGGAGCAGAATGGAGCACTGAAGGAGCCTCATGTGAGGCAGCGTGGGAGCAACACATGGAGTGATATGGGGGCAGCACACAGAATAGCAAGCGGTCAAGAAGACAGCTTATTAGTAAGTATATTACATTGTTGCGGTAGCATGCTGTAAATTGAGCCTTGCTATTTCTGGAGTCAAACCAAATAAAGAATTTTTTTTAAGATGGTATAATTGACACTTCAAAGAGCAGGACAAGATTAGATCTTAAGGCAGCCCACCCTGTTTGAGCCTAACCACAACTAAAACTCTGTTACCTGATTTTAATAGATTGTAGCTCCAGGTATACGCTCCATTTAATGAGCATGACATTTTATTGCTTTGTAATATATATGGTTGATCATGTCACTACAACTTTCACCAAGACAATGGAATGCGTATTAACTAGAAATGATAATTATTTTCCTTTTAGTTTTTCCACTTCAAGGATTGTTTCCTGTTTGCTGGTGTTCACAGTGTGCTCTGTTTTCCTTCATTTCTGTGGAGATTTATGACTTTTCTATTTCTTCTGCTCTTCTCATTCTCTCTCTCACTTCTTGAGGGCCAGTGTGGTGGTGACCTATAACCCACACTCCATCCTTAGCTGCTGTTTGCCACTCATTTTTCAGGTGTGTACAGGTTACAGGTCCTGATCTTCAAATGTTGAAGGCCAACATGACTTGGTGCCTGTTGTTAATGGGGAAGCAGGTTGGGGGTTCCCTGATCCTTGTCAACGCATTAGACGAGACTAGAAGATGATGGGAAGGACTCAAATTTGATACTGATTTCCTTCCTCATGAGAAACTGCCTTACCTCTCCCCTTGACAGAATAGCTGATTTCCCAGCTTAGCCATAGGCTGTATCGTGAGCGCACTAGCAGATCGACACAATGTAATACTGAGCTAAAATAAAACCAAGAACTGCGGATGCGAGAAATCTGAAACAAAAACCAACAGTGCTGGAGAAA